CGTAAGTGTTAGAAATACCAGTTTGCTTTAAACACTTCGTCAAAGCTGTCTTGCTTTCGGTAGCTCTCCTTAAGCTCTTTCCTACATAGCCGTCACATGTGCTCACAGGCACTCGATATGCTCTTTGTCCTTGTCCTTTATCCAAGATGTCTGTGCCGGACGTGCTCCCGGGCATGTCCCGGTGCGCAGCCTGCACCCCCTCCTTATCTAGGCTTCCTTTTTGTTCTCCATTGCTCTTACCTGTTGAGAAAGTTTTAAGTTATTAGCCACTCGGGTTTTAGTTTAGACTGTGAAGTCTGGCTCCAACCAAGGGAGGTCAGACACAGCAGTGAGGACGACCCCGAATGCATAAAAGGTGTATGTGTCTGCTTTTCCTTTGTTGGTTGCACTCTCCTAGGAAGATGGCTGATAGGAGCACCCTTTCTGCAGAAGGTAAAATTGCCTTGCTGAGAGATCCTTTGTCTCAGTGCTGACTCTTCTTTGCAGCACCGAGCATCTGTTTCGGACAGAGGCCATCCTGGCCAACATGGTGAAACCCGTCTCTATTAAAAATACAAAGATTGGCTGGGCATGGTGGCAGGTACCTGTAATCCCAGCTACTCGGGAGGTTGAGGCAGTAGAATCACTTGAACCTGAGAGGCAGAGGTTGCCGTGAGCCGAGATTGGGCCACTGCAACCCCGCCTGGCAACAGAGCAGGACTCTGTCTCATAAAAAAAAAAAAATTAAAATACCTTTTTGATTCTTGGGAAAATATCCAAATAATGAGCTATCTGTTGTTTAACTTTAGATTCAAAATTGCGGTGTTTGTTTACGAGCATTGATTTCACTACATTTATTTTAATTATTTACCTGGGTGGTTTGTGAAAACTGCTAGTTATTAAAGTTATAAAACCGCCGTTGCGGAGGGCAGACCTGACTTTCCCGGGTACCGAGAAAGCCCGGGGAAGGCAGGCGTCCCCGTCGTCCCGGATCCCGCCAGGCCCCGCCTCTCTCCCACCCTGGACAGTTCCCGGGACCCGCCCCGCTCCCGGTCCTGCCCCCGCCCCATGCCCGGGGGCGCCCCGCCGGCCCCGCCCTCCCAGGGTGCCCTCCGCGCCCCGGGCCGCCTCCCCGCAGTCCCTGAGTTTCTCAATCCCCGCATCCCCGCCGCACCCCCGTCCACTCCCGCGGTCCCCGGTCGGAGTGGGGCCCGATCGGAAGCTGCTGGCCGTCTACACCGGCGGCACCATCGGCTTGGGGAGCGAGCTGGGTGGTGAGTCCGACCCAGCGCCCCGGGCGGGAGCCCTGGGCCGTCCTGCACCCAGGGGCGACATAAGTCAGATCCGCACCTGGATGGATGTGGGGGTGCGGGCACGGGCTGGGGTACCTCTTTTTCGGTCCAGCCTTTCCAGGGTCACCGCCATCCCGGCGTTTGGAGCCGCCACCTGGAGAGAGGAGGTCGCGGCCGGTCCTCGCAGTGGCGGTGCTCTCCGGAGCGCCTTGCGCCCCTCAGGGCCAGCGCCCTGGAGCCCTGGAATATGGGGCGGGAGGGCCCCGGGGCATCGCCTGCTTCCCCTGCCCTGGACACACAAGCCCGGAAGGCTTAGGAGGCTTCAAGGGCCCCTCACCAGCGGCACCCAGCAGGCTGTCCCCATCCCTTGGGGTCCTGGTCCGGCAATAGTGCCTGGCACCTGCAGGGACACACGTTCACCCCCAAGGTGGCCTCAGAGCCTGCTTCCTCTGCCCTGGCATGGACCTGGTTGATCAGAGAACAGCAATTGCACCTGGGCTGAGTTCTGCCTGGGTGGAGTCAGTGCCTGGGACAGGCGCTGAGCTCCATGGGACTCCACACAGTGCTGCCAGCCTGGGCTGGGCACAGGGAGGATGGTAACTTGGGGAACCTGAGGCCACCAGGATGGGGAGAGGATGGTTGCACTGGAGCCCCTAGAATGCCCGGGTGCTCCCAGGAGAAGCCTGGGGCCCCCATGTGGGTGCTGCTGTGATGTGGGGTGCTGCCTCCTCAGGGCCAGGACGGCCCTCTCGGCCCATCTCCAACCTCTCTGCAACCCTCCACGGTCCACTGGCCCTTTCAATTCCTCCTCCTCCCACTCCCTGCTGCCCCGGACAGCCCCTCTGCCCACACTCCTGCTTGTGCCCACTGCAGTTCTCACTGCTGAGGCAGCTGGGACCCTCTCTGCCTCTGCCAGAGCCCCAGGGCCTCCCCTGGCAGGACCAGAACATTCTCTTATCTCTTGCCAGTCTGCCAACCACTTCCTGGCCCCTCCTTTCCCTATCCATTCTCACGACCTGCTCCCTGGCAGCTGCCCCTCCCGGCCACCCCTTCATGCTGGAGTGGCTGCTCAGAAGCTGCCAGTACACTCTCTGTGCTCTCGGATTCCAGGAGCCTATTCTGCCCTCTCCGTCTGCCTGTGACTGGGACAGTCATTCACAGCTTGCCAAACGCTCCTGTGTGACACTCCACTGACAGAGTGACACAGTTCCTGTGCTTGGCCCTCATAAGCCAGTGACAGAGGCTGCCATCGAAGGGATGGCATGCATTGAACTAGTCCCAGGGTCGGGATTTGCCAGGGCCCAGTGTGTGGGTGGTGTGGAGTTTTGGGGTGGCCCGGGGGGGCTTCTCTGAGGACACAGGCCTGCAGGACAAAGGTGGGAGAGGGCCAGGAGAGAGTGGGGGAGCCCAGCGGGCTGGAGCTGGCCAGAGCTGCCCCCAAGTGGGGACTAGATCCGTGGACTCGGCCTCATCTGACGCCCCTGACACTACCCCTCCAGGCTTGGTGTGTGGCCCACTGCAGTTTCATCGAGCTCAACACAAGGGTCTTGAGGGGCTGGAGCTGCAGGGACAGGCGGACTCTGGCTGCAACCCCCCACACCCGTCGTGCCAGGCCCTGTGTGCTCACCGCAGCAGCCTGTGGGCACGCTCACACTCGTGTACCGTGTTTCTGGCCGTGAGGTCCCATGTCTGGGTGGGGAATAAGAGACTTCAATGCCAGAAACGGGGTGTGGGGTGCCAGTCTTCAGGCCTGAAGCAGCTTCCTGAGAGCCCTCAGTGTTCCATGCACTGGGTCGCCAGGCTCTGGACAGAGGAGGAGGCCAGCAGGCCCCTGGCTTGTGCTCAGCAGCCTGTCCTCGTGTGGTTCCAAGGTCACCCCCAGCAGTTGCTAGCTGACCCATGTAGGGTGTCCAGGAACCTGCAGGACAGGGCCACCTTCCACCTCACAGACCCTACCATCATCACATCCCCAAAGACGCTTCCATATGAGGTGACACCCACAGGTGCAGAGGATTGGGACGTGGACATCTTTTTATTTTTATGTATTTATTTAATTTTTTTGAGACAGTATCACTCTGCCACCCAGGCTGGAGTGTGGTGGTGTGATCTTGGCTCACTGCAGCCTCCGCCTGCCAGGTTCAAGCGATTCTCCCGTCTCAGCCTCTCGAGTACTTGGGACTAGAGGCGCCTGCCGCTACACCCAGCTACTTTTTGTGTTTTTCGTAAAGACGGTTTCAACATGTTGGCCAGGCTGGTCTTGAATTCCTGACCTCAAGCAATCTGCCCGCCTTGGCCTCCCAAAGTGCTGGGATTCCAGGCCTGAGGTGCCTTGCCCGGCTCTGGGATGTGGACATCTTCTGGGGTTCTTTTCCAGCCCACCACACATGAGACGGGGACACCTGGACACTGGTGTGGGGTGGATGCTGAGCCCTGGCTGCCTGGGGTCTGAGGTTGGGCCCTTGGGGTTCACCAGGTGGTGAGTCCAGGCCTATGTTCTGGCAGCCCGTGTCCTGGCTGCACCCTTGGCGCCTCAGAGTGTGGACGGGCAGACACACGCGGGCTCCCCCGTCCGCTGGCTGAGCCTGCTGGGGGGGATGATTTTGTCAGCAGCTGCACCTCAGCCGACCTGCATCGTCCACTCCTCTGGAAATGTCCCCGGGGGCCCATGGGGCTTCGTGCAAGGCCAGGGGAGACCGTGGGTGCCATAAACCTTCACGGGGCCAACAGGCCTGTGTTCTGGGGCCAGCGACTTAGGAGTCGGAGATGTGGAGACCCATCTGAACCCAGGGTTGGAGGGGGACAGCGGGGAGGGGCACAGCTGGAGGGATATTAGAGGGGCCACTTTAACACCCAATTTTGGGGTTAATTTGTGAACCAGTGACAGGAGATGGGTATGGTTGCAGAAGGCGAGGGGGAAAAGCAGGTGACCCTGGCTGGGGCTGCAGGACACGGTGGGGCGTTACTGCTGGGGGAGGGAAGGGAGGGCCAGGAGGGGTGGCTGAGGGGTCAGGGCTTCCTACTGAGCAGCTGTGGCCAGGTGTCCATTTAGAGGACAGAACTGAGACACAGAGGCTGCGGGAAGGTGGCAGAGCTGCTGGGGGTGGGGCCAACCTGTCTGCACTTGCTGTACGATAGCCCCTCCAGGTCTGGGAGCTGGGGGAGGGGACCTGGGCTGGACCCAGGGGAGTCACACACAGCCTGTGCCCTCTGGGAGCTTGAAGGCCAGTGAGGGAGCATGTGGGAACAGCACTACGGCCCGGGCATCTGGGAGGGCTTCCTGGTGGTGGTGCCCTAATCTGGGCCTTGAGGCACCTACTGTGTGAGAAGTGGGGATGAGGCAGGACTTCCAGGCTGATCCCGCAGGACATCTGCAGTGAGGCCAAGGCTGAGCCCGGGGGTCTTCATGGGGAATGTGGACTGAGCATTTGGAGAAGAGGTGGGGGCAGGGGCAGGGCCTGGGTGGAGCCGCTGGAGACCTGGGCAGAGCTCCTGGGGCTGTCTGGGTGCGAAATGAGGAATCACCAAGGGCTCCAAGGCAGGAAGCGTTGGCTTCTAAACGGGGGTCAGCGGCCCCCACTCTGGGGTCCCAGGGCAGGTGTAGCCCTTCCTCCCAGTCTGACTTTCATGAGGCTGGAGCCCCATTCCACCAGCTCTAGTCCCGCCCCTCAGTGAGGAGGAGGCCATGGCTGCCGGCCCCTGACCCCACTCTCTACCTGGACTCTGCTTGCAATGCTCATGCCTGGGACGGGCCTGGCTGCCACCCTGAGGATGCTGCCCATGTTCCATGATGAGGAGCATGCCTGAGCCCTCAGCCTCCCTGAGGACACCCTGGTGCTGCCGTGGGTGTGGGTTCCTCCCAGGCCCAGGCAGGGCATGGCTTCTGGGGGGAGCCGATCCTGAGGCTGGGCACCGCTGGCCAGGCCCACATGAGCCATTTGCTCACCCCATCGCCGACATCCCTGCAGGTTAGGGGGCGTTAGGACTGCCCAGCAGCCGCCTTCCACCAGTGCCTGCACCTCGCAGAGCTCTGGGAGGAGGGCAGGGCCTGCGGGTGCCCCTGTGCCTGGTCCTGCCTTCCCTGCTCACCCTCCTTCCACACCCCCAGCCAGGCTGGTTCGGTGAGTGTGATGGTGGTGCCCTTCTAGGGACCCTGTATCTCAGGAGCCGGCTGTCCCAGGCGGCCTGGCCCTCAGCAGGGAGGTCCCTCCATCTCTCAGCTCTGGGCCTAGCTCCCTGAACTGATCCACACACAGCTGGGGAGAACTGGCAGTCGCCCTCGTGGTGGCTGACCCAGGAAGCCAACGCAGGCCAGCTTCCTCCAAGCATCCTCTTCTGCCTGGGCGGGGGCTGGTCCCAGCTGCCTCTCCGAGCTAGTGTCGAAAGAGGAGTGCAGGGAGCGCCCTATCCTGGCCGGAGTCCTTGCCCCTGTGGGGGGCTCCAGGTGGGAGGGGGGCTGGGCCCTGTAGCTGCGATGCTGAGAACTTGTTGTGTGCAGAGCCCTTGGTGTAGGGGCCCCAGCTCAGCCAGAAGGAGCTGTAGGAGCCTGCTTTTCCTCCTACTGCTCCCGTCCCGCAGCCCGGCCAGCCCCAACCAGAGGATCCTCTACACCGTGCTGGAGTGCCAGCCCCTCTTCGACTCCAGTGACATGACCATCGCTGAGTGGGTTCGTGTTGCCCAGACCATCGGAGGTAGTGGGGCTGGGGAGTGCTGGGTGGGGCTGTGGGGAGTGGGTGGGGCTGTGGGTGTGGGTGGGGCTGTGGAGTGTGGGCGGGACTATGGGGTGTGGGTGGGGCTGTGGGGAGTGGGTGGGGCTGTGGGGAGTGGGTGGGGCTGTGGGTGTGGGTGGGGCTGTGGAGTGTGGGCGGGACTATGGGGTTGTGGTGGGGCTGTGGGGAGTGGGTGGGGCTGTGGGGAGTGGGTGGGGCTGTGGGGAGTGGGTGAGGCTGTGGAGTGTGCATGGGGCTGTGGGGAGTGGGTGGGGTTGTGTTGTGGGTGGGGCAGTGGAGTGGGTGGGGCTGTGGGGAGTGGGTGGGGCTGTGGGTGTGGGAGGGGGCTGTGGAGTGTGGGCGGGACTATGGGGTGTGTGTGGGGCTGTGGGGAGTGGGTGGGGCTGTGGGGAGTGGGTGGGGCTGTGGGTGTGGGAGGGGGCTGTGGAGTGTGGGCGGGACTATGGGGTGTGTGTGGGGCTGTGGGGAGTGGGTGGGGCTGTGGGGAGTGGGTGGGGCTGTGGAGTGTGGGCGGGGCTGTGGAGTGTGGGCAGGACTATGGGGTGTGGGTGGGGCTGTGGAGTGTGGGCGGGGCTGTGGAGTGTGGGCGGGACTAGGGTGTGGGTGGGGCTGTGGAGTGTGGGTGGGGCTGTGGGTGTGGGCGGGGCTGTGGAGTGTGGGCGGGACTATGGGGTGTGGGTGGGGCTGTGGGGTGTGGGTGGGGCTGCGGGTATGGGCGGGGCTGGTGGATGGGCAGTGGCCTGCAGAAACACTCTGGGACAGGTGAGGAGCTGCAGGGTCCAGGGTGGAGTCAGCGTGCCCAGCCTAGGATCTGGGAGCATCTGGAAATGGCGGCTTCAGGAAAGGGCAGGGTCCACGTGTCAGAGCTGGGGGCAAGGCTCTGAGGTCCTCTCCCCCATGCAAGCTGTGGATGAGCCTATAGGGCGACTTCCAGGCAAGGACACAATGGGAACAGCTGTCTTAGCCTGTCCCTGTTAGTACCTGGGGTATGGCGTGCGATGATACCTCGAGGGCAGACAAGCTCCTTGTACCTGGCTGGTGACCTGCTCACTGCCCTCTGTCCCCTTCCCAGGTGGGATCTCTGGCAGTCTTGTGGTTTACAGCGACCTGTGCCTGCATCCTGCAGGCAGAACTGCTCCCCTCCATCCTTCTCCATTCTCTGCCATCATAGGACGCTGCCGTTTTACCTGAGCTGCCTCCACTGGGTGGGAGCCTCCTGCCCCTCCAGTCCCAATTCTCACCTGCTTCCCTTACAACCCCCCTGCTCCCCTGAGTGGGAACATCTGGGCTCCCCCTGCCCAGCAGCAGGGTGGGGGACAGCACCACCCAGGACAGGCTGCTCCATTTGTGGCAGGCAGCCCCCACAGGCCAGGCCTGGGTGCATTTGAGGCCACCGAGGGTGCCCTGCCCAGCCTCACAAAGGCCTCAGCGCAGGTGGCCCAGCCTGCGCTTCCATGAGTGGCCAGCAGAGGGTGCCCTTCCCCTTCTCCACCTCAGCCCTGCAGTTCCCAGGCCTACAATGCTTGGTGTTTTAATGGCCCAGCAGGAGGCCCAGGCTTGGTACGCGGCTCTGGGCTCTTGGAACGGTGCCCTGGCAGCCACTTCCAGGGCTAGCCACCCTCCAGGGGGTGGTGCCGGAGCACGTCCCTGCGTGGCCAGCCTCACTGCTGCTCTTCAGGGTCTTGCCCACCTGCTCAGGCAACCTGCTGGATGACCTGCTGGCCCTGACCATGGCGGTGACTTGACCCTGCAGGGTCCCTGGTCCTACCGTTGTGTCCTTGCCTGACCTGTGCTCTGGGCTGCGAGGCTCATGTGCCTCCACAGCCCCCTGCTGCCATCGAGAGGTGCTCACACCCTTGGGGAATGCGCAGAGGCCCCTCGGAGGGACCCATTCTTCTGTGCTCTGAGGGGAGCTCCAACGTGGTGGACGCACCTGAGTGGCACAGAAGCCTCAGGGGCAGGGAGAGCGTGGTGGGGGCCCCAGGACCCCACACCAGGGGTGCACCTTCCAGAGAGGGCCTTCCGGGCCGGGGTGCCATGGGCGCCTCCTGCAGTCCCCCCTCCGCCTCTGGGCCCTCTCCCGCTGCTGCAACCTCCCCACACCTGCTCCCTGAGGGGCGGGCCTGCTGAGCTCACCCTCCTGCAGAGGCACTGAGCAGTACCACGGCTTTGTGATCATCCACGGCACGGACACCATGGCCTTTGCCGCCTCAGTGCTGTCTTTCATGCTGGAGAATCTGCAGAAGACCATTGTCCTCACCGGGGCCCAGGTAACTCCAGGGGCCCAGGGCTCCTAGGAATCAGGGCTTCCTGAGGCCACAGGGCAGGTTGGCGCTGTGGGACACTGAGCTTCCTGCTCAGCCCAGCAGCTCCTGAGGTGGCTGCTGCAGGGCCGGTGCTGAACATTCACACGTGTGTTTTCCTGACCCTGATGTCTCGACTGCCACCTGAGTGCCAGCGCCACCCGCCCTGTGAGCTGTGAGGCCCCAGGGGCACCCAGAGCCAGGCCCACCTCCGCCCTGGGGGCACCAGGCCTCCCCTCCTCTCCTCCGATGCTTCCTTGAAGCTGCTGCCCACCTAGACGTCCGTGCAGCAGGGTAGGCAAACACAGAGCAGACTTGGCCCTCTCTTTGCCCTCTTGGTCACCCTGCCTTGGTCCCTCTCTTTTCTCCGCCTGCTGTGGTTCCAGGTGATGCCATCCTGGGGCCCCTGGCACACGATTTCCCTGCCTCCCTCACCCTCACCCTGCACAAATCCCACAAGCCATGGCCAGTGGCGTGTTCTGTAAACTGGATTTGGGGGGAGGTGGCAGGGAGGTCTGCTGGGGGCTGACTGGGGTCTCTGCTGCCTGTGGGATCCTTTCCCACAGCTGAGGCCAAGATCTCATCTGGGGAACTGGTACCCATGTCCCTTTGAGCTTGGTGGCAGCTCCAGAAAGCTCCATGGAGGCCCTCCTAGGAGGTTGGCCAGGTGCATCCGGGGAGGCGGCTCAGTCACCCCTTTCTGCTTGCCCAGCACTGTCTCCCTCTTCCCTCCAGGGTCTCCTGGGGCCGGCTGCACACACCTGTTAGCGTCAGAGCAGTGCCTCCTGCCCTGGAGCCCAAGAAGGAGGGACAGGGCTCAGGATGCTTCTCCTCTTTCCAGACCTTCCCTAGCTCCCGGGAGAGCAGAATGTCCCCTGGGCCTTTCCATGGGGACCAAGGGCAACTGGCCCCCGGAACATTGACACGCGTGTTTTCCTAACCCTGATGTTGGCCTGTGTTGGGGAAACTGAGGCTCATAGGCCAGGGACTCACCCACAGCCACGAACCATGTGAGGGCTGAGCCAGGGAGGACCCAGGACCCAGGGCTGCTGCCCCTGGCCAGGGCTCTTTCCCTCCAGAGGCCCTGCACTGACCACTACCCGGCCACCTCCCCCTGAGGACTCATGCAGAGACACACTCCCCCCTCCAAGGCAGTCCTGCCCACCTGTGCCCTCCTGGGATGCGCTGCTCAGTCAGCCACAGGGCATGGTTGCCCATGCCAGACACAGGCAGCTGTGGGAGGGGCACTGTGCATGGCATCCCTGGCAGTTCCTCCCCATCCAGCCCACCCACCCCTCACCCTATCACCCTCCACTCAGCCCACAGTTCTGCTGGGATAGTGAGGGGTCTGTCCTGAGGCTGAGCAGCTGGGGCGGGAGGCCTGTGATGCGTTCTCCAGTGTGGGGACCTGCCTGCCCTTGCCGACAGCACTGGGCACTTGGACCTGCAGAGGGAGCTGGGTGCAGGCTGGCATCATCCTCAGGGACAGCTGTGGCTGGCGGCCTTGGAGACAGGCTTCCTGTCCAGCTGCTCTGAGCACCCCGTCCCCAGTACTCCCGTCCCCAGGCTGTGCACAGCAGCCCAAGCCTGCCTGTCCTTCTCTCCCCGACACCCTGCCCGGGGCTCCTGGGCTGGGCCTGGGGGTCTTCCTGGAGAGAAGAGCCGGCATCCTGGGCTTCCTCCCCGGCCTCTCCCCCAGGTGCCCATCCACGCCCTGTGGAGCGACGGCCGTGAGAACCTGCTGGGTGCACTGCTCATGGCCGGCCAGTATGTGATTCCAGAAGCACCCCCCCCACCCCCCACCCCCACCCCCCGGTGCATGTGGAGGCGGGGCAGGGGCGGGTTCCGGAGAACAGCTGGGAAACAAAGTCCCCCAGCCCCTCCCCAGACGCCACTGCTGATAGCTGGGTGCACTGTCTTCTAGGTCTGATATTAGGGATATTTATGTAAGAGATATGTATGTAAGTTTCCATAAAAATAGGCAGCCAGCATGGCTTTGAAGGGCGCCATTTCCGCCTTGCATGCCTTTCCCTGTTCCATGTGGTGTCCCAGGAAGATGTGTACAGAGATCTCCCCACCCTGGGGCGGGGGCTTTCCTAGAGCCGACGCCGAGCGGGTGTCTGGGGGGCTCCCATTCGCCATGGGCGGTGGCCTCCAGATTAGCTGTGCCCGCTGCACCTTTGGGACGAGGTCCTAGGGCTCCCTAAGGAACAGGGGTGGGGGCAGTGGCAGGCGGGAAGGGAGGGAAGGATGGTGCCCCTTCTGCTGCCCAGCCACTGTACACCCCAGGCCCCTGCAGGCTCCAGTTGGCCTGGGGCTAGGTGGCAGGGCAGGGAAGGGCCTGAGGTGGGCAGTACCTGCTCCCAGGAGGGTTTCTGCCTACGGTGGGTAGGGTTTACAGTCCCGCCTCCCCTGGGTCTGAGCACCCCGTTGATGGCAGGGAGGAAGCTGGAGGGCAGGGGTTGGGGACAGGCTGATCATCTCTCTGAGCACTGTGGCTCCCGCCCTCTAGGTGTGCCTCTTCTTCCAGAATCAGCTGTTTCGGGGCAACTGGACGACCAAGGTGGACGCTTGGAGGTTTGCGGCCTTCTGCTCCCCAAACCTGCCACCTCTGGCCACCGTCGGTGCTGATGTCACAAGCAAGCCCGGAGAGAGCAGGGCCGGTGCCAGGGAAGGGCTGCTGCAGGGAGCTGGTGGCTGCGACTCGGCAGAATTAAAGGGCACCGTGCCTGGCTGGAACTTGCCCTGCTTGGTTCTGCCCGGGCCTGTGGACAAGCACCCAGCGTCTTTGGTTTTCAAGACAAGCTGTGCGTCTGAGATCTGGCTCCGTGGCAGACTTGCGTGTTGCCCCAGGGCTCCTCAGCAGGGCAAGGACAGAGGAAAATGCCTGGCCCTGCAGGCAAGAAACTGAGGCAGAGAGAGGCAGGCTCCACAGGGAGGCACAGACTCAGGCCCTGCGGGCTGACTCCCGTCCATGGCTCTCACCCGGTGCCTTGTTCCTGCTGCTGGCTCCAGCACCTTCTGGGGAGTGTGAGGCTGTACACATCAGCGTGTCTGACGCGTTACAGCGCCGGGTCTCAGGGGCCTGGGCTGCCCACTGTTCACTGAGGGCCAGGGCAGCCCAAGGCTTCTTGGGGAGGTGGCTGTGAGCTTGGTGCCGGTGGTGTACTTGCTTACTTGCTCATGCTGGATGAAGGTGTGTGACCCCTCCAGCCCAGGGAGAA